CAACAGACTGGAAAATCGAATCAACGGACTGGTCGCTCGACGTGACAAAAATACATTTGGCAGGGGAAGAAACTGAGAATAAAACTTAAATTGCTACAAGATGCAAGAATAAGAAGAGGATTTGCTTTGCCCAATTGGCAATTATACTATCAAGCGATGAGTCTGATGTGGGTAAAGGAGTGGATAACACTAAGGAATACTACTAGACTTTTGAATTTAGAAGGACATGACTTACTGTTAGGGTGGCATGCCTTCCTCTGGTATAAGGGAACTAAAACACAGGGGTATTTTAGAAGACATTATATTCGAGAAGCATTGTTTCTAAACTGGGAGAAGATAAAAAAGCAATATTATTTAAAAATTCCACTATGGTTATCTACTATTGAAGCTTTTTCCTATCCAATAATATATAAAAAAGAACAAACAGTTAGATATGGTGAGATATTGAATGAAAAGGGTGAAGTCACAAAGCTGATTCACACACATATCAGTCTAGATGATATGGTGGACACTCTAGGTACATTATTGATCAAAGCAGTAACAAACTCATCAACCAAGATATTTGAATAAAATGCAAAAGATGTATATCAGCATATACAAAATAATTATATTGGTAAAGAACTAAATAAAATATTTTGAGTATGATTTAGATTATAACCTTTCTTGATTGAATGTCATCTGTAGGTGTTGTGAAATGTATTACAATAAAATGGGCTCAGTGGACATTGCAAGAGAGGGGTACAATATGAGGAGAAAATGCATGATGCTTCCAGAATAAGAACCACATCCCCTTTGTTTGCAAAAATACATTTCTCCATCCATCATGACCTATTTTATTTCATAACTTTAATTTGATAAGTAACTGAAAAAGGCCTTCTGGGCAAGAGGCCATAGCCATTATCTTCGTTTCCCTGACTCCCTCCAACCCAGATGCTTTTGACCCACACTATAAAAGAACTGTTTGCAAAGACTACATTTATTAGACAAATAATATTTTAAGGTCATACAAAATGCATACTATATGAATAGTAGCAAACAGTAAAACTTTTCTGAGTAATTTTTTACCCAGAGAGGTTTTAAGCACAAATGCATAGACATGATAAAATGGAGCTCAGAAAAATAAGAAATTAAGAGCTATTAAAATTGATAGCTCCATTCTATCTTGTTTGTTCATTCTACATTCAATGCTACTTTTTAATTTAGCAAAGAAAGTACTGCTATGTGGAATTAGGAATAATTTTTGATGATCGCAGAGTATACAAGTTCGCAAATGAAAGCAGCTTTATTTTAAAAAAATAAACTATTCTCTAGAAGGACTTAGGCCTACACAGGCCTCCCAATTTCAAAACCAATATACATTTTCTCATTTTCATTAAAAATAAGCTTCATTTTTCAAGTTAACAGAGAATCCTACAAAACATAGTTATATCATGAAGGAATAAACTTGGCCTGGGAATGGGGAAAGAATGAGTGAATTGTTAAAGAGTAGGGGTGGGGTCAGAAAAGATTGCTAAGGTAGAGTAAAATACTGTAGAAGGTAAAGGTAAAGGTTTGCCCTGTCCAATCATTTCCAACTCTAGGGGGCCTTGTTCATCTCTATTTATCTACTTTCATTTTCATGCTTTCAAATTGCTAGGTGGGCAGGAGCTGAGGTAAGTAATTAGGAGTTCACCTTGTCATGCAGCGTTTGGGTCTTGAAGCCGAGCTATCAAGCTTTTCAGCTGACAAGCTCAGCATCTTTGACTGCTGAGCTATTGCCCTACTTAGAAGATAAAGTCAAATAATCCCAATTTAACGTTATCTGGTATGAGAACCAAAAAATCCAAAATTTAATCCAGCATTTTTTCCTCGTCCAAATCCACATTCATTGGATGCTTTCTCTGTTTTAAATTTCAATATATCTCACATCTGCTTTAAACTAAAAATAGCCAGTTCCTGTTTTAGTTTAGTTTTCTAAACTAAGTAATCAATATTCTGGCCTTTAATTATTTGGGTGAGTTTTCTACAACCCTCCCCAGTACTGGAATATTTATTTTGAAATGTGACCATTGAATGTTAATAGTATTCAAAACATTTACAATAACATGCTTTAGTATAGTTGAGTGAAATTATCATGATCTTGGGTTAATGTTGAGAGAATGGCCCCAGATTTGTACAAGATTTCTTCCATAGCTTTATTTCATCGATCAAGATCACTGGATAGATAGAACCAAAAGTTGACAGAATTCCACAGGTTGACTGAACTATTTTATATTCTTCACTATATGAATAGTTTTGTAATCATTCTACAAAAGGAGATGACCTCAGTCTGATAATTTTCAGTTGTAACTTCCATTTTACTTTTCTATAGTGGTAGTTACATGCAAACTCCAGAACCGAATTGATATTTTTTTTTTCAACCCACTAATATAAATTTGCCTTGACAGAAGTTACAATGTTCAGTTAAGTAGAGAAATAATGCCATCAGTAGAGTTGACTGTGGCTCAAGTGGCTATTGCCAAGAGGCATCATTAGGGAGAGAAAGACAGATTGTCAAAAAAAGGAAAGAACTTGAAAAGGAAAAGTATTGGAAAGTATATCCTATCATTGGAAAGTATTCTAAGGCAAGCAAAAAGAAAGCCAAAAGCAGAAACAAAGGAGCAGATTTAGGAAATAAGGCACTTATGTCTCCTCCAATAAATTGATTCAAAGGGACTGGGTTGGTACTAATTATAGCTTTCATGCAACATTTTATGTGAAAAATATTCTAATGCAAACAGTATACCCAGGATCGTATCTCATGCTGAAATGACACTCACTAGACACTATTTATAAGATTGGAAAGAATATTAAATTAAACTTAAATAAACATGTTGCTGACAAGTAACTTCAGAACTGAATGACCAATTACCAGGATCCAATACTTGCAAAGTTATCTAGCACTTGCTGTAAAAATATCATAACTTTGTGATAAATATAAATTTATTTTTCTAGCACCAGATATCATGAAGTGGCATTTAGCAAAAGATTATTCTGAATTCAACTTTTAATAAAATACATTAGCCAAACAGCATTTTCTGCATATATAATTCCAGAGATAATATATTATGAAACACAGTTGTACTTCAGCATAAACAATTCCAGAAATATTGTATATGGAAGTACTCTTGCACACATAAACACTGGCTAATAGCTTAAAATCTTCCAAATAAGTTATTAGTATTTATTTGCTTGATATAAGCCTGTACATTTAATAGTGTAGTTAAATTCTAGTTTACTATGTTTTCACAAAATGCAAAAGCACAGATGGCAAAATATCAAATAAGAATAGTTGTGTTCTGATGTAAGGCTTCCCCAACAGCATGAAGCCGAGTCCTCGTCCTCATAAATCCCTTTTATTTAATTTACAGTGAATTCCTCTCAAGCAAAGTCCCAGCCAACAGTCTTTCAAGATAGTTCACAATTACAGACCTTTATCAGGCTTGGAGAGTGGCCAGGCCAATATCTTTCAGATACCACAATACTTGGCAAGAATGCAGGAATGAACTAATTGTCTCCTGCAAAACCCTACCCCTTTTCACTCCTCTTTTATTCCCTTTGGGAGGGGCCATTCACTGTCCATCTGTGGCTTAACTTTGAAGTTGTCCCTTGTTCCTTAGCTGTTCCCTTCATCTGGCAACTCTGTGCATGTGCACACTGGGAACAGGCTCCAGTTGTTTTTCTGCCTCACTGATGTCCAACTCTGAAGGCAGCTAATAACTGTCAGACAACCCTGGCCCCATCTCTGCCTCCAATGCAGAACACTCATCAGAGCCTTCTCCAGACTCCAGGACTGGCCCATATTCATCCCCAATCTCTTCACTGTCCGAATCTGCTGCCAGCTCCACTGGCTGTTGATGGGCCACAACAAGTTGAACTTCATAGTTGATACTATTAAAACTTCTTTCATTAACACTATAAGTAGTCCGCAACTTACAACCATTCATTTAATGACTGTTCAAAGTTTCAGTGGCATAGAAAAAGTGACTTATGACCATTTTTCACCCTTATGACTATTGCAGCATCCTTCTGGTCACATAATCAAAATTTGGGTACTTGGCAATTGGCATTTATTTGTGATAGTTGCAGTGTCTCTGGGTCATGTGATCATATTTTGTGAACTTCGGACAAGCAAAGTAAACGGGGAAGCCAGATTCACTTAAAAACTGTGTTACTGACTTAAGAACTGCAATGACTCACTTAATAACTGTGACAAGCAAGGTCATGAACTGGGATAAAACTCACTTAACTGTCTTGCTTAGCAGTGGAAAATTTTGGCTTAATTGTGGTCAAGGACTACCTGTGTGGTACTTTTGAATATTATTAATATGAAAAGCCACCTCTGACCATATAACTTTAAAAACTGCTGCTTCGATAGCCTTGAGAAGGAAAAGGGTTGGATGGCATATAGAAATGAGCTACCTACTACTCTGACTTTTGTAATCTTAGGATAAAAACAAAGGAGTAAAAGATTGCTTTGATTTCCCATTATTCCTCATGTTAGCTCTTCAAGGTAATCTAGACAAGAAGCATCAACTATGAATAGTAGCTCTGTCTTTATTGTAAGGCTACATTAACAGGATCTTGCAAGTCTGAAAATATTTCTCCCCTCCCTTTTACTCTTCAGAAAACCAGGGAGGGTCACTTCTGAAATGCTTCCCAGGTCCCCTCTTTTTTGTGGGCTGAAATAGCTCTTGCATGATGATTATCTGGTCTGTGGTTCTTCCTCTGGTCTCCCAAAGTCATTCCCTCATACCATTTACAATTGCAGATTGTTCAAAATCTGCAAAATCTTTAGGGTTCTCCTCCCCTTGACCTAAGGTTATTTTGCCATGACCTTAAAGAAATTAGGATTACATATTGCAATATACAATCCTAATTTCCACCCAGTGCTCATTTCTGTGGAAATTCAGCTATCCTTTTATATTTATGCCATTATTTTTTTTAATTATTTAAATAAAATTTATTTTTATTCTTCGTACCTTGAATATTTTGTACATGATCTCATATACAGAAAATGTTCTTTCGGCTCGGGTCCAGTCCCATGTTGTAACCTTGAGTAAAAATGTACACAAAAAACTAATTACACTTATTTTCCATACAATTTTGAAAAACAATTCCACTAACCCACCTACACCTGCATATGCAATGAGATGGCAAGAAGGCATGCTATGATTTATAGAAAAAACAATGGGGATTTTTTTTGCTATCTAATGTGAATTATTTCTGGCTTTGAATGTACCATTCTTGGAAGTTGGTACATAGAAAGAGAGCTATTTTTAACTTGCTCCTGATGAAAATGGAAGAACTGCAAAAAGACTTTCTTTAATTTATGAATATAAATTAAATGAGTAGGATCTATTTTCAGATCAGTTTTCCATTAAAGTTGTACTTATAAATCATTTCCCATTACTGCTATCCTTATTGACTTTTCACCATTACCTTTTCTCTGTCATCCTTTCATACTTTTTCTGATACTAAATGCATGAGTTAACATGAAATCTCCAAATCAGTGTACCCCCCCTATCTGTACATTTAATTATGAAGCAAGATCCAGAATGATACTTACTGGAGGTGCTAAAAATTTATAAAGTGAAGAACCCCTTAGTGCAAGAAACTTTGGTGTGTATATCCTGTCCTGAAGAGAATCTTGTTCCCGTTCCTCTGTCCAGCCCATGTAGACTATCTGGCATAAAAAAACAGCATATTTTTACTTTCTACATATTATCATTTATATAAAAGACACACACATTGAATATTCAAGAAGACTAGAACCCTAACAGTCGATTTACATAATCATTCGGAAATTGGAAATTCACTGGATAAAATCAGACCTTGTGAAAATCCCTATGCATACAATATGTGATTATGAATGTACAGAGTCATGCTATATCAGTAAGTAATCACATTCTGAATTCGCATCAGCTTTGTTTGTAACTATACAGAGATTAGTAGGCATTTTCACCAAAAGAAAAGAAAGAAAAAGGAAAATAAACGAAAATTGTTTTTAATGGGATGATGCCATGAGGACGAAGTTGCAATATATATGCTTAGATGGGATTTAAATTACTGCTTATGTGATTCTTGCAAAGGTGACAACTTTGTTATAGGAAACTGCTGTTGAATAATTTATATTTGTCATTCATCAAGTTGTTAAATGATAAGTACCTATTAACCTTGTAATGAAAACTGAATCTGCTTCTCAATCTTGAACAAGGCATTTTGACCCAGTATATACAAGTAAAATTAACCATGAATGATTAAAAACAGGCTATTTGATATGGTAGTAAGAAATGTTGTTCATTTAAGTAGGTTTTCTTGAAAGAGCTTAAGATACTTACTTGATAAAGATTCTAACACTGCCCATCATCAAACAGAACAAAGCAATTGATTCTGTATAAATTCAATGATATTTCATACAAGACTTTCCCCCAGGACTAAAACATTCATGAAACTTAATAGCAATTGCCTTTGAAACATTATCCCCTTGTCTGTCTATATCGTGAGATTAAGAGCGATTTTACACACAACCCATTCTTTGGTTAAAAATTTATAAACATAAAAAAGCACTTCTGGTTCAGACTGCATAACCACAGTCAAATTATTAATGCAAAATACCGGAAACAGTATTTATTTGCTTCTTCCTAAAGCAAGAATTCAAATGAGGAATTTAATCCTATACATTTGGTTCAGCTTCTGTTGCTATTCCATAATAAAATTCATATTCTGGCCACTCAAGGCGAAGTAAAATTACTTCAAAATAATCGTAGCATGATTTTTAAAAATCAGTAGGATGATTTTACAATACTAAAATATAATCTGAGAAGATTATAAACCAGATTGTGAAATGAATGTGAAATATTGAACACAGGCATAGTTACTATTCCATCAATACTATTAAGGTTCAGGTAGTCACTAACCCTTCCATCTTCCACCAAAATTGACTTTCTTCTATTTTTTTTTAATTTTTCAATTCTGAAAAAGTTTCTTATTCTGGCAACTTTCATCATAGAATAATTCCATCTCTAAATTTATACATTACAGGTCAAAAAGCATTTTTGGCTCAAAAAGGTTCAAAAAGCCTTCTGGTCCGATGTTTTGATCCGTGTATTTGTGATTCACATTAATTTTGCCTTTTATTAAAATTATGAATTTCACTTACTCAGTGATGCATCATATTATACCAAGAAATTAATGTTAGTATTGAATATTTTGGTCAATGAACAAAATAAATAATGACGGTACCTAGGTATATGGATTACTACGGTTGGTCACAAAGTCAGCCAAATGTTTAGACTGGCTTTGATATTTTTATCCACCTATCAAGTCTTTCCCAAGGATCTGGGAGAAGCAGATGTTACTGTTTAATAATACTGAAGGTACCACCACAGTATATAAAGTGTTCCAAGCAAGGCTTCCTTTTGCAATTAATTGATGTGATTATGTCACAATACCAATGTGTTCAAGTGGTCCAGATGTTTTGGAATTATACACAAGGTGCTTTTTACTATTGGTACTAACTTTTCTTTTTTTGCTACAATCATTCTACTTCTATTTACAGATCTGTATACTTTGTGATTTTTCTCCAGTTCTTTCTCTTCTATTTTGCTGTCTTCACATACTGCCATGTCCACTATACAGACTTTTTTGTCTCATCAACAATTACTATGTCCGAAGAGTTGTGCAGCAGATGCTTGTCTGTTTGAATTTTAAAATCCCAGAGTAGATAAAGATAAGAAGATCTCCATTTTCTTCTTCATTTTCTATTACTTTCTTTGTTTTATGGTCCCAACAGTTCTTATTTTCAGGCAAATAGTATTTATTCCAATGCACCATTGTTGCTACTTTGTCTTGCCATTGTTTGTAGTCAGGTTTTTACAGCAGCTAATTAGGTGGTCCAACAAGGTATTTCTTTAGCTTCTTTGCAGAGAAGGCATTTCCTGTTGCTGTCTTCTCAATGCTGGCTTTGTATGCATTTGCTTGTAAGGTTGCATTTGCTTTAACGCAGACAGAATTATTTCTTTCTTGCTTTCCTGCTCTTAGCCATTGCCAGGTCTTGTAGTTATCTGTGTGGCCTGCTAGTTTAGTTATTTGCCATGTAATACTTTGCCTTGCTATGTCTCTTTTCTATTCTTCATTTGATCTTTCTTTCTTTCAGGCCAGTGTAGTCTCTTTAGTATTCAGTAAACCTTCACGGCATAATAGTTTTAGTGTCTCTTCTTTACTGTCCTTCAGACAATGAAGGGTATTCTTCCAATGCCCTTTTTTCTTCTTCAACTGGTGTTCTTGCAAAAATTCATGCCTATCTAGGGTCTTTGGTTGCATGGGTGAAGTAAATGATTCACTGTCATTATTCTTCTTATCCTCCTATCAGGGCTTTTATTTCTGCTTCAGTCTAATCCACTTTTCAGCCACATATCTAATGATTGGAGTTGCCCAAAGATTAATCACCTTGATAGTATTTCTGTCTTTGAGTTTAGACTTTAAGATTTCATTTTTCTGATGTGTTCACTATTAACCTTTTCTGTGATTTCAGTGTGTTTGATTTTGCCTGGATATTTGTATCTTCATCTAGAGTCTTGATATTATTTCCATAGGGCACCTTGACTCCTTCAGTTTTCACTATTTTTCTCTTGTTAATGGTATGGGTGCACATTGGTCCAGTCCAAACTCAGTTGTGATCTTGACTCTATATTTAAACAATGTTGAGAAGCAATTCTATTTCAGATGATGTATTTATTATCTACTCATCTTCACATTATCCATGTAAATGAGGTGGAATAGTCTGGCTGATGTTACTGATGTTTGATAGCCAGGGCCTCTCTTTTTCAGTATTGTGGATCCAGGAATTAATGCAATAACAAATAGTGATAGTGGTAATTTTCTCTCTTGATGTTGTTAACCTCTTGCAGTTTATCAGCACTGATAAATGATGACAGCAACTATGTCTACCATTGTGCCATTAATCTTGGCACAAAGGTTCTGATGTTTCTACTGACTCCTGTTATTTCTAGGCACTTATCTACTCATGTGATAAGGAGTCAAATGCCTTCTTTAATCAATTAATCTACTGTTGTGGCCTGTCAGCCGCTTGCCCCTCCAGCAGCTGAATCAAATGAGGAGGTGATGTGGGAGTCAAGGCCAGCATCAAGGCAATCAGAGCTCTGAGGGGGAAAATGGAATGGATCTGTCAGAGATAGAAATAGAGGCGGAGCCTGGGTCATCCATCAGCCCTCAGATGGAGAGTCAACAGCCCCCAGGTCTGGAAGTGGCTGATGAGGAAGAGGAGGACAGCTGGTTCCAGTATCTGACACACGGATGCACAGAAGGTAGAGGAGAGGAGAGCAGTGGAAATCTATAGGCTGATCCTTGGGATGGAAGAGCCCCCGCTGCTAGCGAAGCTCTGGGGATAAAAGGCAGGGGGAAGGTCTGCTGGACAGACTTGTTAGCCTGCTGTGAGAGAAAGACTTTATGACCAGGCTGCTGGCAAAGGGAACATTTATTTAACTACACAGAGTTTGTCATGTTTGGGAGCTTAGTCAGAACAGCTACATTCAAAGTGATCTTCCTTCTTAAAGTTTCCCAAAATTATCTTATCCATTAGGTGTCGATTTTTTGTTGTTGCTTTTTGAGTGGGTTTTTTTTTCCTGCTTAGATGAAAAGCCTAGGTGCTATTGAACTGCATCAGTTGCCATGCCAGTAAATAATTTAAAAGTTGTTGGTAATAGCACTTAAACTTATACATCACTTCACAGTGCTTTATAGCCCTCTCTAAGTGGTTTACAGAGTCAGCATATTGCCCCCAACAATCTGGGCCATTTTACCAACCTGGAAGGAGGAAGGCTGGGTAAACCTTGAGCCAGTAAGAATTGAACTGCTAAACTGCTGACAGCTGGCAGTCAGCAGAAGTAGCCTGCAGTACTGTATTCTAACCATTGTGCCACCATGGCTCCTTTGGTAAGCAGGTAATTGGTCTGTAATTGTTTAGTGCTGCTCCTTTGGTTGGAACTTTCATTATCAGGTAGGTTTTATTAGAGGTTAACCAATCTTCAATTTCACCTTCTTGCAGTATGTTACTAAAGTCCTTAGCAATTGTGGGTATAGATCAGTCAGATGTTTCAGTAAAAAAACATGTGATGTTGGCCAATTCTTGATCTTTCTTGCCCTTTCCCCCACCATGTCTTCTTTTAATACAAGTTTTAAATTATTATATAGCTTGCCTCGTGGGGTAACCAGAACAATCTGGAACTGAACACACTCAAAACCGTAGAAACGGTGGTAGACTTTAGAAGAAACCCTCCCATACTACCACCTCTTACAATACTAGACAACACAGTATCAACAGTAGAGACCTTCAAATTTCTAGGTTCTACTTTATCACATGACCTAAAATGGACACCTAATATCAAATACATCATCAAAAAAGCACAACAAAGAATGTTCTTTCTGCACCAACTCAGAAAGCTCAAACTGGCCAAGGAGCTGCTGATACAGTTCTATAGAGGAATTATTGAGTCTATCATCTGCACCTCTATAACTGTCTGGTTTGGTTCTGCAACCCAACAGGGCAGACACAGACTTCAGAGAATAATTAGGACTGCAGAAAAAACAATTACTACCCACCTGCCATCAATTGAGGACTTGTATACTGCATGAGTCAAAAAGAGGGCTGTGAAAATATTTACA